GACGCTCTCTCCCATCAGCAGAGCCGGGGTGGCCGTTTTGCTCCACGTCATCAAACGTGTCACCCGTGGCCAATGTGGGCACCTCTGTGCAGTCACCACGTACCCGACTGCCGATGCTTTCCTGGAGCTCTTCGCTATGGGTGTTCGGGGCGGGGGGAGCAGGTGTTTCGTCTGGAAATCGTGGGTTTTCTTTGACAAGTTGTCATTTTGCTGTGGCTACGTGAAGCCACATGCGTGAGGGCTTGGCTGCAGGGGGAAGAGGGGGGGCCGAATGCCACCACCGGCACACGGGGATGCAGGAGGCCAGGATGTGGCCGGTCTCCCTGTGCAGCTGAGGATCTCCATAGGGGTGAGGGTCTGCAGAGACCCTGGGCGAGATCCAGCTGACGCAGGAGCCCCTGTCAATGGCTGCCACCTTCTTCTGAAAGCACAGGGGAGAGGGGTGAGCGCTCAGTAGTGGCCTCTGTGGTGGCTGATGGTGAACAGATCATGCCCCTTTTCCTGCCTCAGTTTCCTTGAAGACATTTAGGGAACCTTTAGGAAGAGGTCTCTGGAACAGCTTGGCCACTGTCTAGCCAAAGGGAGCAGAAGGTGATGGGAAGAGGACAGCTAGCCCAAGGGAGAAATAGAGCCAGAACTGGAGACTTTAAGCCCTTGTCTGGCTAGAAAATTACAGCGGTTTAGCAAAAAATTGAATTGGAATCGATTTCAATAAACCATCAGAACCCTGGAGGTAGAGCCACTTAGCCATCAGCTGCAAGTAATTTGGCCTGGCCAAGACTGAAAAGGCATTGGCAGCAGAGACGAGGGTTGCTGTGGGTTAGCAGCTGGTCTGCGGTGCATCCTTTGGAGGGACGGAGCCATTTGATCTCCCGTGCTGGATCTACATCCCAGGTCCCTGACTGGTGGGACTCAGGGGCTGCCCCTCTCCTTTGGTCTTTGGCTCCCAGTCCATAACCTGCCTGCCCTTTTCTGGATCCGCTGGTTCATGCCAGGCTCGGCTGGGCCCGGCGCAGAGGTGACGCTGCCTCTTGCTGCCCGGCTTCTGCCAGATGCCCTTCTCCCTTGGGTGACGCTTGCTCACACCCACTGGCCAGGGCTGACGAGCGGCTCTCTCCTTGTTGCAGCTCTCCGCAGCCCGCTGAGCATGTCCAGCCCCTACACGTCCTCCTTTGGAATGGTGCCTCATGCCACCCTCAACGGGGAGCTCCCAGCTCCCAGCATGTACATGGGCATCCACCTCTCGCCGCAGGTCAGCAGTGCCGTGATGTACGGCCGGTCCCCGATGGTAAGTCACCGTGTTGGCTCTGCCGCCTGTCCCCTGCTGTCCTGGGCGTGCGTGTCCCTGACGTGCGGTATCTGCACTGCTGCAATGAGCTCAAGCCGGGGGGTGCAGCCCCACTGGTGCGTAGCTGTGTCTTTGGGAGCCCATTTTGGCCTTTGTCGCTTGCACGTGGAGGAAGCAGGGACCTTGCGCAGA